GGTCAAGGAATGGCTTCTTCTTGTAGCACTGTAATGTAAGAGACTGATCAGGTCCAAGCAGCCATGCCCTGCAGGGGGAAATGCTGAGGCTTCCTTGTCTCCTGTGCCTGGGGTCCCTTGTCACTGTATGTGCCCACAGCTGCAGAGGTGACAGTGTCCCTGCTTGCACCTCTGTTCTGTTTAACTTCTCTTAAGCATTAGTTTAATCCTCTGCTTCTATGCCAAGAGCATCTTGCTGATGCTCCTGAAGATGCACAAGTGCATCTTCCTGCCCCCTCACCTGCCCCTGTGGGGCAGATGGGCAGCTCTAATGTCCCCTCAGGGTGCTCCTGGGTCTCTTCTGCAACCCTGGGGGTGCTGGGGGATCCTGTCCTGACCGCCATCTGCCACCAGCACTGCACATTAGGTGAGGTGAATCTCTTCTTGGTTGTGTATCTGAAATAATGTTTTCTGATCTCTGAGTAACAGGTGTTACTCAGATAAAGCCCAAGCAGAGATTATCCAGATTTGACCACACAGAGGCTTCACAAGTGCTCGAGGTCAAATGTGAGTTGCACCTGATGCAAATCAAAGAAAGCTCTGATAAACAGCAGAGACAGAGAGCAAACATATTTTTTAATGTATAAATCTTAAGGTAATAATCTGAGAAATATCTCCTACTGATCCAGGCAGAGATCATGTGTGAATCTGCCACAGGAACTGCAGTGAGGAATGCCCTTTCCTCCAGGCTGATGCCGGCTGAATGGGTGGTTGTTTGGTTTTGATCTTTTTTCACCTGTTTGTGTACCTCCACCGTCCTGAGCCTGGAGCTGGGCTGCATTTTGCACCTGCTAGAAGGGGTGCATATCCATGTCCACAGCAAGTGAGTTTGGGGAAATTTCACTAATGTTTGCTTTAGGAAGCAATTTTATTATTCTCAGCAATTTCCATACAGATCTGAGGGTCTTTTGCCAGCCCTCATTTCCAGATGGCTTAAAAGCCATGTCCTGTGCTAAATAGCTGTATTTAATTTCCATGTATTAATCTGAGACAAGAGGTCAAAGAAAGAAATGCAGTCAGTATGAACAACCTGCCTGGTCAGGGGGAGCTCAGAGACATGAGCAAACACCATCTGGGAAATGAAGAAGTGAGCATGAGGATGCACATATGCACACCTTCATCCAGGCCCACAATCCCCCATGACCTTTAGTGGCCTGGCAAACTTCTTTTACATGTCTTCTACAGCTGAAAAATTGTCCAGGTAGTACTTGGAGATACCTAGAACTGCACATGGCATTGCAACAAAGCTTGGGCATGGTGACATTTTTCTGGGCTACAGGACTTGGCTGGGCTTAAGTGCCCACATGAGTGCATCACACCAGTGATACATCACATGCTCAAGCAACCCAGCGCTATTTTTGCTCAAAGGACCCCTAAGAGTGGTGGAGAAGTGAGGAGATGAGCTAGACACAGAGAGTGGCTCTCCCAATGCCTGCTGCAGCACTTTGGCCTCTTGGCCATGCTAACATTTTCAATATGCCTACAAGTTTCCCATATATAGTGTATTTCCCAGCCTTTGAGGCTTGCTGAGGCATCACTGCCTTCCCTTGAAGCAATACAAGGCATTCATGAAGTTTCTGTGCTGAACTGTGGGAAAAGAGCAGCAAGAAACTGTGACCCCTGGGTAAGAGCATGCTTTAGAAACACCATCATCAAAAAATCAACACATCAGCCCAGAAGGCCCACAGACAGCTGATCCCCGCCAGCCTTATCAGAGAGAGAGCTCCTGTGGATGCTGAGGCAGCAGCCACCGGACATTTTTGAGATGTTTATTCTATCCTGTGTTGATATTGAAGTCAATACAATAACTAAAAATAAAGATTAAAAAAAAAGTACACTGCAGCTATTTGTTCCTGAATTGTTCTGTTTACCCATACCAGCCCAGATTTCCATTTAGGCAGGCCTGTAGTCCCAGATGTTCAGGCATTTTCAGCAACATGGTCATATCCCAGAAGATTTGGCCTGCTGGAGCAACTATATAAAACATGCCTGTAATTTTCCATTGTGACTGGGAGATTGCATTCCTCAGGGGCGAGCAGTCACTGGCTGGGTGGCCCTGTGCACATGCAGGCAGCACAACCCTGAGTCCTCTGCAGCCTCTCACCATGGCAGAGGGGCAGAAAACTTCTGTAGCCCAACAGGGCCTGGTCTGGCATGAGGAGGCTCCCGTCAGTGGCACTTCCTAGGGGAGGGGGCCATGCTGCTGGGAGCCATGGCCAGCTGCTGCTGCAGGGATGGATGTGGCTGGGCCTGCAGGTGGCTGCTCTGCTGGGCCTCCTTGCACTCAGAGCCCGTGGGCATGGTTAGTGTCTGTTGAGGTGATCCAAAGAGAAAAATGGTCTTTAACTGAGTGAAAGAAGATGCTTCACTAATTTGATGAATGGGCAGAGGTACCCATCACAAAGGCCCTGCACAGCTGGGGAGACTCACCCTGCTTCCAGGTACTGGTGTAAGGCCACCTCTCAGGGAGGCTGTGGGATGTCTCTGAGTACAGCCTCCTCCAAGAACCCAGCTTCAGGTTAGGGAAAACCAATGGGCAGATCTGTGTGGCTTATTCTGCTTTCTTCCACAGGTAGCAGTGGTGGCAGAGGACAGTGGAGAAAGACACAGTGGCTTAGTGCCTATTCCTGATAATTCTTTTGGCACAGGATTTGCCTCAGAGAGTGCAAGGAGGCATTGAAAACTTGCTGGAGCCAGGTGTTTCCTTCCCTGTGCCAAAGCACCTGCTGGGAGCTCATGTGCCGGAGAGTGGAGTGCTCATGTCCTCCAGAAAGAGTGGAAGAGGTGTCCTGTGAGTGCCTTGAAGGAGGACAGGTTTGGGTCAGGTGCTGGAGGGGCTGCATAGCTGTGGACAGCCAGGCTCAGTGCTGTGGTGGCAGCTGGCTCCAGCACTCCTTACCCTGCCTTACCTCCTCCAGCCAAGCCCAGGGCACCAACACCGCTCACTCCTGCAGTGCTGACAGACAACCAGCACGGGGCTCTGGCAGGCAGCCCCAGCCCCCATCACTGATCCCTGGCCACTGCTGACATCTGGCCTCCAGTCTTGGGAAAAGGAGACTCCACCATGCTTCCTTCAGCAGCAGGGAGGTCCTTGTTCTTTAGGGGCAGGTGAGGCGTAAGGACAGCATGAGGATGCCCTAGGGAGAACTGTGGCAATTCCCATCTCTGCTTCCTGAAAATCCAGCACTCACCCCTTGACAGAAGCAGCACAATTCAGAAAGGGCAGCCTGGCCTCATCTGCCAGCTTTGCCTGCATCAGTGGGGCAGTTCTGGAAGAAAAGACCCTTCTGTGGGTGCTGTTGCCAACTTTGATTATGACTGGGCTGGTTTTCCTGCCACTGATTTTTGTCACACAGAAGGACTGGTCAAGGCATTGCTATTCCTGGAATCATCAAGCAACACATCTACTCTTCAGGTGGGCAGAGACAGACATTCTCTTCTCATACACATGACAGAGGGAAGTAAACAGATAAACCAGGCAGGCTGCTTCCATTAACTCACTGAGCTGCAAAGACAGTGTCCAAAGAAGGTTTTCTTGCTAAGGAGGGCCTGGTTGGCCATTTTGTGATCTCATATGAAAAGAGGGATAGAAAAGGTCTAGAGGGTAAGTCCTGTGAGGAGTGGCTGAGGGAGCTCAGATTGTTCAGCCTGGAGAGAAGGATGCTCAGGGGAGACCCTCTCTCTCTCTACAACCACCTGCAAAGAGACAAGACAAGAGGACACAGTCTCAGGCTGTGCCAGGGGAGGTTCAGGTTGGACATCAGGAAGAATTCCTTCACAGGAAGGATGTTAAACACTGTAACGGGCAGCTCAGAAGAGCTGGTGGAGTCACCATCCCTGGAGGTGTTCAAAAAACATCTGGACATGGCACTTAGTGCCATGGTCTAGCTGATCAGGTGGTGATTGGTCAAAGCTTGGATTCAATGATATCAGAGGTCTTTTCCAACCCAGCTGATTCTGAGATTCTTTGATATCCAGCTCAATCTGCTCCTTGTAATGGGACACGTCTTCCAGCCAAAATCCCCTGACAGAAATTTCTCAAGGGCAGATTTACCCCTCAGAAGTTAACCCCTTTCCTCCATAAAACCATCAGTGCCCAGCTCCAAGGCCAGGACAGGAGTCAGACAAGACGCTGTAAGCAGCACTGCCAACAAAGCCATCCTGGTTTCCTACAGTGCTTGAGCTGGCTGGGACAGTGGGATCACACCTCCAGCTTTCACAAGGTCACATCAAATATATTTGAATCAACTGGTCACTGCAAATATATTTTCTGTGGCATTAAAATAAAATGAAGCTAACAATGTGTGAAGCAGGTAAACTCACAGTTTTAAATCAAAACAGAGTTATTGGAGGCTCTTGGTCCCTGAGCGCCTGTACAGGGGAGCCTGTCCCTGCACTCTCCTGCAGCAGGGAGATGGGTGCTGCTGCAGTCACTGATTAACCACCCACCTGGGGAGCTGCTGCCCACACTGCGGATTATGGCTTGACCCCCTGGCCACTAATTTCTGATGCTTGACTTCACTCTGCAGTGTTTTTGTAGACCTTTTGCCACAGCACTTGTTTCCCACAGCCTTTTGTTTCCCCTTAGTAGTTTCAAATGTAGGGAACAAGCCTTATTTCTGCCATCCTCAACTTGCTTCTTATAAGTACTTGCTCTGCAGCTCAGCCTTCAAGACTGTGTGGAGCCAAGGATCTAGCTGGCTTTGAAAATATTTAGGTACAATTCCCCTTCTTATGAGAAGAGCTTATAAACCTCCCAAAAACAAGAGGTGAAATGAGATTTCTGTGAGCCATCCATGCTGCTTTGCTTTCTACCATGTGTTGCATTTTACCCCCCAACCAGAGAGGAAAATATCCCCTATGGCAGCTTCTCCTCACCCACTGCAATCTTTGCTTGAGCTCTTTCGTGCAGGCATGCAGACCCTGCTGCCATTGGCATAAACAGCACCAGGAGAAGAAGATCTTGAAATCATATTATATTTATTACATACATGAGATACAAAAACAAATTACCAAAATAGCATCTTTTTTCTGTGAGTCCACAGGACCTTGAAAGAAAAATACATACGTAAAGTGGATTGGTAGACTAGTGACTTTTCTGGTGTTGTATGTCTTCTTTCCCCTCACACTCATGAACAAAATACACTCTATGCAATGTGGTTTAAGGATGCTTTACAGAAAGGATATATTTTCGTGCTGAAAACTGCAGTAAACTGTGCTATAGTTCATACTGGTGTTAATGAGGGAGTATAATGGCTGTATATATTGCAAACAATAACACAAACAGAAGAAAAAAATAAAATGTTCAGTTTTAAATACTAACATAAAAATAAAATAAACTCCAGGCCCACCATGAATTGCTGGGTTGTGATATGTAAATGCAAGTCCTTTCTGTTCTCTACATCCACTCCTTTTTCTGCAGTCAAAGAGTTTTCCTCCTCCTGCAATTGCATTTTTATCTCAGTCTCTTCTCCCCACTCTGTTTGCAAAGTCTTGCTGGAGTCCTGCCCACGGGGTCCAAGTGCTGGTCTGAAGCTGGGACTTCAGTGCAAATACTTTATCTTTCAGATTGCATCCTCAGATACTCTGAGTGGCCAGTGCCAGGCTGGCCATTCCCTTTATACTGTTAATGCTGTCCAACTGTGGGGGGTCCTCAGGAGTGCTTCTGTTTCTGGGAGTTTTTTCTCACGTGCCACCTTCAGATTCTTCTTTCCCCAACACAATTAGACTCCCCACACCGTGAAGTGGCAGGTAGTAAAGTGCTTTATACAATGAAATATTTACACTAGGGCTAGGTTCATCTTTTAACACTTCAAGGACAAAAGCTCAGAGACACTGCACCCTCTGCAGCTGGCTCTTCTCTGCAGCCATGCAGTGGGTGGAGAGCTGGCCTCTGCCCTGCATCACGCCTGTGCCAAGGCAGAGGGGTTCAATTCACTCCAGCAGCTCTCTCCTCAGCAGCATCAGCAGAGAATCTAGCCCTTGAAACCTTCAGCAGGGCAAACAGGCTAAAAGCAAGAGGCACCCCATTCTCTTTGATGGGTGCCATGTCCTAGCCTGTAAGGGGGTGTTTCTAAGGAGTGATTCTCATTGCCATGTGGGTGGCAGCACCTACCCATTGCCTTCCCCACAGCATCCTCTGGGAGCCCTGGAAGTCACTCAGGATGCACACTAGTGGCACTGGCAGTGTTTGCTTCTCAGCAGTAGCATTTTGAGGGTGGCAGTTTAGTCTTGGGTGATCAGTGGCTTCATGGGAGTTGCTCCAACAGCACACTGGAGCGAGACAAGCATCCACCACCCTTCCTTTTTTTTCCCCTCAACATAACAATGAGCAGGGCTCAGGGTGAGGCCCTGACAAGGAAGCTATAGGCAAGTGAAAGAACATTGGCCAGAAAGGGTTAAATTAGACAGTGCCTACAACTCTGAATGCCTCACTACATGTTTTGGCACTATTTTCTTACATTCCAGTTTTCATTCTGGAGGTCTTCTCTTTGTGGAGGCTGTTGCATTTTGTGCATAAAGAAATGCCCTAGGCAGTTGCACACCTCTAGTTGCAGTCTCTTTTCAAAATCTCCAAGACCTTTCTTCCAAGAGCCGACTTCCACTGATGGACAAAACTTTTCATGTTGACAATGAGTCTGCCTGTTCGGACGTCCTCATGTCCTGCCACAAGATACTCCAAGCCTGCAAAGCAGCAGAGCAGTCAGGGACTGCACAGTACCATGCTCAAGAGGCCTATTGAGCTGCAAAGTCAGCCTGGATATCTAGTCCCATGCAAAAAAGCACTTACACAAAGAAATATTTATATATATTGGCTCTCATATATATCTGTATATCTATAGCTCTATCTGTGTCTTTGGCAAAATGACTCCTGTGGCTGCCTGTCAGAGAGATGCAGCACACAGAATGTGACTTTGTGAGCCTCTAAATATAAACGAAAGATGGATGAACTCTGGGGGTGGCACAGCAATTTCTTACACCTCTTCTGGGAACTGCTACTACCTTCATTTGGCAGCCATCTGCCTCACTTCTCCCTGAATATATCTGGGCCTGGAGATCAGTTCAGCGAATTCAAGGAATGGAACAGTGCAGGACAGTCCAGTGCTCGCTATCTTGCTCGGAGTGGCCTGTGGCCCCTTGGAGGCAAAGGCATGCCAGACCCCAGTGAGAGGCAGCACTAAATGTGCAGAAGAGCCTGAAGGAGTGGCTGTCACACTGAAAAGAACTAATTTCTGCCTCTGCCAGATGTTTTAGAGACATGACAGCAGGGTCTGGCAAAGCCTCAGCTGGTTGTTCAGAACAGATAGAAAGGGTTGCAGTGTGTCCCTGTCCTGCCCTGCTGCAGGGCTTTCCTCAGGCATCCAGATCTGTGCCTGGCTTTCAGGACACGACTCAAAAGAGTGCTTGGAACCAGGTAACAACTGCTAAACAGAGGGATAGAGCAAAGCCTTTGGCCTGAATTAGCTAAAGAAGCACTGCCACAGATCCAAACAGCCTAAATGGGCCACAAATGTGCCATGAATGGGGATAATAAGGAGTATAATCCCTTTCATGGCAGGAGGAGCTCCCTGCCAGGGTCAGCATGCCACTGCAGCACATTTAGGGTACAGCTAGCATTAGACCCCTCCTGTACCCACTGCTTCTTGCACCAGTCTGGGGAACACTGGTGCAACCCAGGCACGGGAGATGGGCCTTCCCTGGGTGCTCTCAGCCATCCCACCCCATTCTGGCTACAGCTTGTGTTGTTTTGGGCTTCCATTTTGCAGTTCAGAATAAAGGGAGGGTGACTCCAAAGTTCAAGGTCAAGCAGTACAATTTGCTTTCTACTTTATTTGAGTTTTTGGGCACACACATTCTCTCTTCTTCCAAGTAAACACAGGATAGGTGTGTGGCAGCATTGCCCTTCAAAAGACATTAATTTTGGCCAAGTCAATCTTGCTGTTAAAAATATCTCTTTTCAAGGGTTCCTAGATTTATTTCCCTTGAGAGAGAAATGTGGTATGCATACTCAGAGAGCAAGCAAATATTGCCATGGTTGCTGACTGTGTAGGGCTTTCTAGATTTTCAACCTGATGCTACAGAACTGTAAAATTAAAACGAATGAAATGACTGAGATGCCACTTGAGGCTGTGCAGTTTGTCCTGGCAGGCTGCTCTCTGCCTCTCTGACTGTGCTTGGCAGAGCCATGGAAGAGATGGGCTCCTGTTACCTTACAAACAGGTGAGACCTTTAAATCTTTCAGCCCAGTGTCCCCCAGAAGCAGAATCTGCCTCTGTGTGTGTGTGTGTGTGTGTGTGTGTGTGTGTGTGTGTGGAGCAGAAGGTGTGCAAGTGTGGTGAAAGGGCTCCCCTTGTATGAACTTAAGCACTTAAAACTTTTCAGTTTTTCATCTGAAAAGAGCCCTCACAGATTTGATAAATGTTTGCAGGTTTTTTGCCTTGTCAGAGCCTTTAAGCACCTACTCTTCTTTTGGCATCCCTTTACTTCTGCAAAATGGTATAAAACCACATCTGTCTTACTTTTATGTTTATCTTTGATCTCCTCTATGTTTTTGAAGATGTGATTTCCATTATAGCTGTATGTCAGAAAATTGTTTTATGTCAGCTTGACTTTTCATCCAGCTGGTTTTGGTTTATTCACCTGTAGGCCATAAGCTCAAACTGTGATAGAGGGTTGAATCTGCTAATATTGTACTGCAAGCCACTCATAAATAAATGTGGTAGCTAAAGAAAATAATTAATTAAAAAAAATCAGGAATCTTTTTTTCCCTCTTTGACATCACTGAATCTTAAAGATTCACTCAACAGATGTTTTCAAGTTTCCTATTAGCAACCAACTTCTTTTCAACATGAAGGCTGAGACTAATTTATACTCATGGGACCAGCAGCTGCATTTCAAAACAATACCAAGCTTTGCAGTGTAAATCATGAGAGCTGGCAAGGAAGTAACAAGGGATTAACACCTGATGTGTCAGACACCTGGACTGTCACTAAGGACAGTTGCATCTCCCCCTTTCTGTTGTTTTCTAAGAGATCTCCACTGATTCTGTGATTAATGCTGTCTTTTCATCTGTTGGGGAAAATCAGTGAAGCTCTTCTGAAGTTAGTCGAGTGGCAAAGCTGGGTGTCAGGTGTGGGGCTGCCCTGCAGGCTCAGTTTTGGACAGCTTCCACTGCATTCCTTCAGGTTCATATTAAGGCAGCTGCATCTGGGCTTTCTTGCTTGAGTTTTCATTGCATATGGAAAAATACACCAGCTATGGCTATTTGATTAGTGATTTATGGTGTTCCAGCAATATCCAAAGTCTTACTGTGCTTAAACAGTAGAGCCCTACCTAATGCTGTGATTCCTCTGACCTTTGCAGCTGACAAGTCCTAGCTATAGCTGTGCTATCACAGCAGCTTGCCTTCAAAACCAGTCAGTCACTCCTGAGGACATGAAAGAAGGCTGCAAACACCTCATCAGTGAATGACCTTTCTGTACAGCCCAGCCCCACAGACAGCCCTGTAGCTCCTAGTTCCTAGTGCTGCACATGAAAGGGATGTCTCAGCACCTACATCAATGCTTCCATTGCCAATTTCCCAGTGCTGTATACATCTCATGGAAAGAAAGCCCTTCATTTGAATTAGTTGGCAACTGCTCATTTATCTTGGAGTTGTAAAGAAAGGTGTGTCAGCTGGAGCTTAGTTTTGCTCTGTGGAAGAAACCCCTGTACCTGCATGTCCTTATCCATACTGGAGACTGCATGCTTTGTTTAGCCACTGTTGCTTATACTCCATTTCAGTGAAAGAAGATGGGAAAAAACTGTGGAGCTCTTCCCTCACTGCATAAGAAAATGTCTTCCAAATCTTGTAGATCTAAATTTGTGTTGCTTTCAAAGAGAAATCTTCCCTCGAGTTTAGATTGGAATTTCAGTGCAGAATCCCAATTCAAATTAGATTTACATATGTTTTTATAGATTCAAATTAGCTTTAGCTTTGAAAGATGTATCAAGATGTATCAATGCTATTTATTGGGGCATGATGTGCACCTCCCTCCCTCTGGGAACAGAGACTGGTAAAGCTGAAAGCCTGTTGCTATGCTATGTAAAGAGAACTGTGTGTTTCAAAGCCTATAGGATGAACCAAGTTTTTCTCTATGAAATTTCAATTTGATGGAGATTGCTGTTGGAATCCAAGTGATGTAACAGACAATAATTTTTAATTAGCACTGGGCTGCAATCCCAGCTCATTGGTATGAGGAGATAGAGGGGCTGCAATGAAATCTGTGTATATGTGGTGGGGATGTACTGTTCAGGGAGTCAAACTTACCAGGATTGAGGATGGGACAAGTGCAGCCTCTGTTAGTCCACGATTCAGGGTAGAGTGTCCTCTTGCCCCGGAGGATCTTCAGCTTTGTGGACTTCAACACTTTCTTGATCTTCACACTGACTTCTGCATGGGAGCCTTTGTCATGAGCTGACAAGATCTTTGCCTTGATCACTGGGAACACAGGAATTCAAAACCAGGAATATACCAACTATTTACAGGACTCTTTTTTATCTTGGTCTAATGCTGGTGTCTGGGTGAAGCAGTGAGGACAAGTGCTTTGTTACAGTGGAGTTAGCCCAGTGCTCCTTGCTGGGGAGCCCAGGATCAGAGCAGCTGCTGGGAAGAACGTATATCCCCACACCCACGGGCAGAAATGCTGCCAGTTGCTTTGGCCATGGCCCCTGGAACTGCCAGGAGAGTGTGAGGTCCTTTTTCCCCCCCAAGTTCAACAAACCCTTTGTGTTCCTTATCTCTTTTGGAAATCAGTTGGATTTAGGGATGGAGGCTTTGCTGGCCTCAGCCTCATCCTACCCAGTGCCAGTCCTGCTGCTTTGCAGAGCTGCCAAATCCAAATTCAGTGGAGGAGAGCGAGCCATTGGTGGGGACTGGGGCAAGTCAGGGAGTGTTTTGAGCTCACTCATACCCACATTTCCTCCACCTGGCATTCCACTGCTGAGCCCCTGTGTTGGAGGCTCAGGGCTCAGCTCCTCCACCTGGCCTATACTGGTAGGCATCCCCATATTGCTGGTGCTTTTTCAGCACCCACACTGGGAAGCCCAGGGCAGCCTCTCTCAGTGAGACCTCCTGGAGCTCATGATGAGCCCCATATTCATCTGTCTCTCTAGGGTAGCTGACACCTTCACATGTTGAGTGATGAAAGTGGGGGCAGCCTGAGTGCACTTTAGATAAGATTTATGAACTTGGAGGTTTTATGGCTTTCTTTTTTTCCCAGTTTCTTATCTTTTGCAAGATTAAACACAGTTACTATCGTGACTGGGAAGCAAAACAGAGCAGAATCAAATTTTTTCCTAATATCACAAACCCAGGGCTACATTTCAACAACTGGCCTTGAATTCCACTTTGTGGGTTGCTCTGCAGCCTGCAGAGGTATGGGCTATCTCTCTGTGCATTTTCAACTTCAGTGTGAGGCGAAACAGGTGCAGGAGACCCCTGCAAGAGATTCCTTGTGAAGGAAGGGAGTGCTGTACAGAGCATTCCTTGCTCTGCCACAATATGAAGGAGGCAGTTCGTTGGCACACACCAGGGAGGTCTTGGGAAACAAAGTGCCTCTTCTCATTCATTTAAATCCCAGAGACACATAGACAACATTTATCATCCCCTTGCAACAGCTGAACTTTGTTGACAGTGGGAGTTCCCAGTAGCTACTGGAATTGTTTTATCCATGGAGTGGTGGTCACAGTCCCCCCTTACATTGAGTATCATCCAGAAACAGTCATTTTAGACTCTGATTAGGGCACTTTGTCTACTGACACCATTTCAGTGACCCATTTTGGGTTACAGTGGTTTATAGTGTCTCTTGGACCTAGACAACCTCCCATGATTTTTGTACAAAGGTGTTTTGACAGCAAGAGAGATGGGTAACAGAACAAGATTCACCCAGCTTGACTTGGAAACATGATACCTGTACATTTTGCCTGAAGTTCTGCCTTTAGACTAAGTATCCCGTGGGTTTGCCAAGATGGAGTGGTGCACACACAGCAACTCTCATGCTCTGTATACATTTTTGCACTGCCTTGCAGACCTCCCTTTGCAGCCCCCTCACCCACAACTCACCATAGGTGTACTTCATCCCGCAGAAGACCTTGGGATTCCCTAAAACTTGCTCTTTACATTCGCATTTACCTGGGGAAAAAGAAGGAAGCAAATGGTGGTGAACTGTGCTTGAAAGACAGGAGCATTGGCAGGCAGAGCCCAGGAAGAGCCAAAGGTTTTTCAAGTGGTCCACAAGACCTCAAAAAAAAAAGGAATTTGTAACTGTTTTCAGATTGACAGTGAATACAGACTCTTGGTCCAAGGGCAATTACTCCTTGTTTACAATTAGAAGAGAAGGAAAACAAAGGCCTTATTATTTTGCCTTGGGATGCAAATAACATGTGTATCTTTCCCTGTGGTATTTTCCACACCGTAATGTACCAGACAAAATTTTAAAAGGAAATGTTGCAGAGGTTAAGGCAGATTAATGACTTCCGTGATCTTAGAACAAAGAACAACACGATATACTTATTTACGTTTAAAATGAAGTGGCCTAGACAAATGATGGAGCTTTCCCCTCAATTAACTCAATTATTGTATCTTCGAGATGTTATCAAGCCCCTCTCTGCAAACGGAGGAAATGACGCTTGCCTGCTTGCATGCAGCAGCTGCAAGGGAGGAGAGCCTGATGCTGCCCCACGGGGCCAGCCTGCCCTGCACCCACCTTCATGCAGCACCCACCTCCCCCAGGCTGGGAACACTGGAGGGAAATAACTTCTCCAGCCGCATGCTAGACCATCTCAAATGGCATCACAAGCTACAAGCGATGCCAAAATTGTTGTGGGTATTGGGGAAATAATTTCTGAGTTAGAAATCCCCTACCTGCCTGCCAGTGAAGTGGCAAACCCCACCCTTTAAATAAAGTTGCTGGTTTGTTGAGTTTGAGGGGATATAAGGATACCTTTAAAATGTGATGGTCAAGTAAAACATGAGGGCACTCAGCCTTGAAATTCAGAGCTAGGACTGCAAATTCTTACCTTACAACAGCTAAATGCTAGGTACAGGCATTCAGCATGGAGCATCGGTCTAATGGGTCTGCACATCCTTGCATTGATGGGATGAGCCATAAGGCCTCTGAGGCTCTGGCTCTCAGAGGGGAAGGAGGTGGCCACAAGGACATTCCTCCACATGTTAGTGTGGGAATGTCCATTTCCCCCTGCAACTGCCAGGGAGCTAACTACAAGTCAGTGCAGCAGACTAGGTGTGCAGTGGCTGCTGGCGGGAGGGATTGGGTGGGTGGAACACGTGCAAAGCCGCAGTCCTACCAGAGTGCCGGAGTGCTGAGAAGCCCTGCTCATCCTCCCAGCCCCAGGTGGGCTCGCTCTCGTTGAGCACTGCCTGGAAAGGAGGTGCTTCATTGTGCCAGGGAACTTCTGAGCTGTTGAGAGGAAAGGGAGATGATCAACCTTCTTCCAGGAGCCATTGGAAAGCAGGGCCACTACCAGTCCATCCTCCAGACACAGCGTGACTGTGTGTCTTGATGGTGGTAAATGCTAGAGGCAGCTTTGGAAGGTGAACAGTTGAGTGTTGTCAGAAAGGATCATGGATCCATTTTGCATTTAAAATACATTATAGAGATTTATACACCACAAATATTTTCAGTCTGGTAAAGAAAACAACATGCCAGATTTAGAGAGTGGGGCATTATTAAAATGTGCTGTTTTCTAAAAGTCAGAGCTTGACTCCAAACCCCAGTCAATATAAGCTGAGTTAAAACAGCAAAATTAAGCCTTTGGTCTCCTCTCACTCAGATGTCCCTGAGGCCCACATTTTACACATTGTGGAGAGAAAACAACTGTGAAGGTTATGGAAAACACCTGGTACATTAACACCAGCACTGAGAGCAAAAACTCCAACATCGCTGGTGTCCTGCCATGATGTGCCAGGCTCCCAAGGGAACCACAGCCTTAGCTCCCACTCTATCCCCACTTCTTGGCCATACCAAACCCATACCAAACCCATACCAAACTCCAAGTATTTGACACAATGGACACTTTCAGCCTGTTTGCCATGTGCAAACAGAGCCCTCCTGGAGCTGAGATCACAGAGTGAGGCCCCCCAGCTCACCTGTGGCAGTCACCGGTGTGGGGGTCGCAGCTGCGGGCGCAGTCGCAGGGCTGGCAGCCGTAGGGCCCGAAGCCCCAGTAGCCGGGCAGGCAGTGGTCACAGCGGGGCCCTGCCACGCCGGGCTTGCACGGACAGTCCCCGCTGCTGGGGTCACAGAAGGTGCCGGGGCCCAGGGGCAGCACGGCCGATCCCACGGGGTGGCAGGAGCAAGCTGCAGGGGAGGGACACTGTGAGGGACAGAGCATCTGTGAGCGCACAGCCTCTGTATCACAGAGGTGCAGGAGATGCCTGCAAAACCACCTCTCTGCCGAGGGACACCTCCGGGGCTTCTGGGCTTTTGTATCCCTCATCCATACAAATCTGAGCAGAGAGTCCCTTTGGAATCTGCAGAATTTTAAGTTTTGTGAGCTAGTTTTTAATTAGTCAGCCTACCCTGGTGTTGTGTTATGTTTTGCCAAACAGGCCTTTATTACTTTCCTTGCAGCATCTGGATTCTAGTCTGGCTGAGTACCCAGGGATGTGCCTGCCTCACTGTGATGTTTGAGCAGCTGCTGGTGCTTCATTGAAAAATGAATCACAGTATAATTGCCTTTTGAAATAATAACTACTGCCATGCAGCCAGGAGGTTAAAAACCCCTCCGAACAGTCATTTTAATCAAAGTGAAGGCTGAGCAAAAAGTACTCCTCTGTCTCTGTCTGATTTTTAAAACCATCAATTAAAAACATTAGGAAAAAAGAATGAGGGAACTGACAGCTCAGAGATAGGCTTTTGCATACTCTCCAGGACACGGGTTTGCAGAATGCACATCAGAAATGCCAGCTGCTCTCTTTTCTCCCTCACAGCTTCTTGCATTAGAACAATGCACTAAAACTGTGCTGAGACATACTGGGTTCTCAGAAAAGATGCCCTAAAATAGGTGATGTGAAGTTTTCCTTATCTACTCCTTAGAGAGTTTTTTTTACATAAACATAATTTATGTCTGTTACAAAGCTATTTTTCCCCAAAGATGTTAATGTTTTCAAAGAACAGAAATGCAGCTATCAAAAGCACTAGCCAAACCTCTGACCACGTGGTCAGGTCAGCAGGTGATGCTGTGGCCTGCAGGACCAGCAACTTAGTGACTTGTGCTCTTCTTGCCTCAGTGTTTGTACCAGGACATGGTATGGTCAGCCTTACACTTTATGGCAAAAAATTCCCTGCTGAAACGCCTTTGCCCAAAGTGTCATTTACATAAAATTGAGTTTCCTGAGAAAATTATACCTGTAGGGAATATTTTCATTAAATTCTAATACCAATCTTTCTATTTTACAACTGTGAAGGCAACAGAGCTGGAAAGCCATTACAGGCAACATATTTTTTTCTCTTAAAATACTTATTGCTGCACACATACATTTAATTTTGCTCTGACAACATTTTTGTGGTTTCAGGAATCTGACATACCTGGAGTATAGTTTCAAAATATTAAAAGATAGATTAATATTGGCAGTTAACTTAGAGGCGACTATGATTCCAACATCTTTGCCAAAGTAATCCCCAAATTTCCCCCACCCTTTCCACTCGCAAACAAATATAATTATATAAAATTAAAAGATTAGAAAGGCTCTCCACAAACTGCGTAAGTAGCTGCAGGCAGTGAACTCTGGTACCTTTAATAGCATAGTTTTCAACAGCATGCACTGCGACTTGCATACCTTTCTCCTGAAGTCTGTGAAGTGTTTTACACCTGATACACACAGCCAAATGCTCTATTTTCCTACTAGATGAGGAGGGTATTTCTGGCATTCCTCAGGCACTTCAGGGGAAATATCAGGCACTTAAGGCTCTTCTATTCTCCTCCAGTTAATGAGATAAACCCACTGCTCAGCCAGAGATTTGGTCCTGTTTTGGTGAGGTTTCAGCTGAATTTTACATACAACCCCATTGGCGTTGGAGCTGTTATGTTTTATACAATTCTTTTACACACTTTTTTCCCCCTAATATAAAATTTAACATCAGTGGCAACATTACGGTGAAGCAAGAATATTAAATTTACAAAAGCTGTTATGAAAAAGAGCAGCAAACTCATAGGTAATTAAAAAGACAACTAAAAATGAGAATGTAATTGGCTATACTTTTTAATAAAAGCCAGAAAGAGATGTGTGTGAAGGCTGGTAATTTCTAACAGGCCTGAATATCCACTGCCATGGATCCCATCCTTCCTGGCTATTCCTCCATGAGCCACCAAGGTAGCAGCTGGCAAATTGAAGGTTTTTGCTCTTGGACTGTGGGTGAAGGCCCAAGATGACACTAAAGGGCATTAATCGGAATGGTCTGGGGGGCAAATTTTCAACACAGTAAATGTTTGTGAAGGGCTGCAGCAGGAACTTGCTGAGCAATGCAGACAGAAAGTGAAGCCCATCGCTATGCACCAAGCACAGAAATGAGGCTCTAGAGCTCAGATGTGAGCGTGTGATACCACATTTAAAAGAAATGCATGGAAAAATGATGGAGTGTTTCCTTACTACGGCAAGGGCAGGAAGGAAAAGGTTGCAGGACTAATGCAGGATTTATACAATGTTTGAAATCTGGAGCTGTTGGTCCCTCATGGGCAGCTGTGCTGTGTTGGTTTTAGACCACATTTTCCTCTTTCCACAGGATCTGCACCTCACTGTAGCACAGGTAGTAGGAGAGCCCCATCCAGGAAGGTGAGAGGAGCAGCTGAGCAGCAGAGAAAGTAGCCACAGGCAGTGCTGGATGGCATTTCATTGTAGATACACAGGTGCAGAGTGTAAGACTCTCAGGCTGAGGCTTCTGCACCGTGCCTGTCTCATGTGCCGTGGCCGCTTCACCAGAGGGGCTGGGAATCTCCACAGCCAAGGGAGCTCCTGTGAGAGAAGGAATGGCTGGACCCTAGCTTTGGATCAAGAGAAACCTTCCATAAGCTTGATTCTTTTCCTTTACTTTTGATTTGTAAGCAGCATTGCTAAAAATGCCATTTTACCAGCCAGAACTACATAGCAGTATTCTGCATGTGACTTCCATGCACAGATGAATTAACAGCTGCTTGTCCTGGCATTGCATGTGCTGACAGGGATGGAAAATCAGTAAGTGGGATGCCAGCAGAACTGGATTTCCCTGCCCTGGATTGGTGATACTGTTGTGGTTTCCTTGGAAACCAGCTAACCTTTGGAAATGACAAATATTTACCCTCAAAACCCTACAGTTGAAAAGCAAAATGAACTTCGCAATTATACAACTTGATTTTATTGCCTGCAATTGTACTGTAGCTGAGGCTTAAAAACTCATGAGGATGGAAAGAAAAGAACTCATAGGTATGACAGGGGGAAAGAGTGATCAGATTGGTGTTTTAAACATCAGAATGTTTTATTTTATCAGGTACACTCCTACTCCTGAGCAAATATTATATACACTCTTTGCCTACAAGAATCTCTAAAGTATCCTTAAAGATTATGGCTTAACAACTCCTTTATTTACTTAGACTTAGGTATTTTTAAATTTTCAGTGGTTGAACAATAATGGTGTCTCGAGCCAGAAACAAGCAGGCAGTGCCATGGCCTTCCCATGAAAGAATAATAGGGCTCCACGCACATCCCTTGTTATTGCAGACCATGGCATGGTGCTTGGAAATGTTCCAGGCATAGGCTGTAATTGATCTTATATAATTTAATTTAACAGTCATTAGTCATTTTCTACGGCCCTGCAGCTGCCATCTCCCCTGTGAGATGCTGAGTCTCTGGGTGCAGGGAGCATTCCTGGCAGCAGGAGACCAGAAGTGAAGAGGTGAAGGGGTCTTAGGGAGGAGTGCTTTTGTGAGGGTTTGAAAAGCCCAGAGAGAAATCATCTGGAAGTTTGTAGTAACAGCGTCTCTGAAAAGAAAGCATTCAGTTAATCCCTATATTTGTGGAATTCAGTTTGTGCTAGGAAAAGTTGTCTTCCTCAGACACTTGAAGGACTATCATGCTCTGCAATTCATAAATGCAGAAAAAAAAAAGTGATGAAGTAGATGTACTTAATGAAGAAGGTAAATAAATGTAAACTTTTTCTCACTATACTCAAGAGCACCTTTCAGTTCTTGTTAAGTATATGTTATCTTTGGCTTTTAAATACCAGAGTTCATGAGTATCTAGTGGTTCATAAAGCTGGATTGTTGCACTAAAGAGTAATGGAGGCACATGAGGCACATTTTTTTTTTTATGTGGAAAGTGGAATGCCATGGGCCAGAGATTCAGAGATGAATGCAGAAAGCCAAGAGAACCGAGCACTGGCATATGTCAACAAAAATACCCATTAATCATCTAACATCCACAGCTTCCTCTGGCTCATAAAGGTGAGGAGAAACTTAATCAAGAACCCTGGAATTTGCCTAACACATAGTTAATGATGTGATGTACTGCCTGACTTCATTAACAATGGTCTAACTTGCACACAGGCAAGTGCACAGGGTTGGCAGCCTTCCCTCTGAGCTGGGGCTGCTTTGCAGCAATATGTCCTGAGACCTCTGGTTCCCATCTGGCTTTGCAAGGAAGGAAAAGCCACTCAGTGCTAGCCAGCCCAGGAAGTGCCATTTGACTTCTTTTTGGGCCCTGCAAACAGCCACAGATTATGGACTGGGCAGTCTGGCACAAGGACAAGCCTACAATGAGTCCCTCGGGAACTCCTCTCCCTCAATGGACTGAACAAGGTGACAAAGGAGATAGAGCCACTTTTACTGCTTCCAAAGTAAAGGGTGGTGTCTTTAGGTGGCCAGAAAACCACACTCAGCTCAGGGCCAAAGCTTCACTTGCCTCAGAAAAGTGCATAATCTTCCCTGATGGGAGCAGGCTTGTAAAGAATATCAGGAATTACAACCCCAGCAAACATACCAGAAGCACAGTACAATGATGCTTCAGAGCTTAAAGGTCCCATGCAACATTTATTTCAGTCTTCTGCCCTGCATTATCTACCAGCAATCAATTAATACTCTTTGTTCTTTTTTTAATCAGCAAGGATGAATCCACAAGTTAGAAAAAAACATATAGCCTCTGCTTTGTGTGTAAATGCAAGACTTAAGCCTGTTTTTTTCCTAATGAGACTCCAAAACAAAAGTTGATTGCCAAAGTTCTGGCTATAATTAAGGAGGGAAAGTATCTGATATTACAGAGGAGACTTAGAACTTTGATGTATACAAGTAGGTAATGAAACTTTTTTAAGTCATTAAATTCACTGTTTAAAAAAATCATTGTGTACATACTACAGCAGTGAAGTAATTATTTACACAAGCAATGAACTGTGGTCAATTCCATTTCCATAAAGAGAACTAGGGCTGTAAAACAGGCAGTTCAGCTGTTGCTGCCCCTCCTTGCAATGAGTGAAAGGTGGAGAGGAGGAGGACCTCTGCAACAGACTGTCAGGAATCTCATGAGGATTATATGCAGCAAGGGAGCAGGACAAAAGCAGCTGTTCCCCACCAGACCTCAATGAACAACTGAAACCTCACACATCCTTCCAGCCTGGGGTGCAGCTCCTCACTGCAGGAGGGTTCTCTCTTCCTTTACATGCAGGTACTTCTCCTTGAGAGGAGAGAGGCATGCTCAGTGTCTCCTCAAAAGACACAGGCAGGGTGTCAGTTGGATTTCTTTCTGTCACTTGTGAAGGTCCCCCCTCATAGTAAGTGAGTCAGCGAGGGGAAATGTGGTGAAGCCAGTGGGTGGCTGTAGGCTCAGAGAGGAGGGCATGCGTGCACCTTGGATTTAGCTGACCAGTAAAATGTTCTCAGCATAATTTGGGGATCTGGAGTCCCCCAGGGTGAGTCACCATCCTCACAGTGGTCCTTGGGGAGTGTGGCTTTTGGAATGCTTCTTTGCTTGGGAAAGATTTAATTTCACATGTGCCTGACTCATTGCTTTTAGTCTTGCCTCCTCAGTGTCCCACCTTCTGGAATATCAGTTGACTTGTGTTCCTGTCTGTCCTTCCATACCCACCTGCTGCTGTTGGGAACACGAACTGGTGGGCGATGCTATTTATCAGCTGCACCCCTGCTGGCTGAGGAACCCCATTCTGAGGTTGCCACAACCACCAAACAAGGAGAACATGAAAACAAGATGCAGCTTTTCCTCTCCAAAAATAGCAATAGGAGAAAGTAAATTAATCATCTCTCTTCCCCTGTCCTCAGGCTACAGGGATCCTTGGGACAGATTTGTCAACAGCATCTGCAGACTTTCACCCATGCTGCTTTTTGCAAGTAGTATCACAGAGGATTCAAGTGAAGCAAGAAGATTGCTCCAAGGAGGGGCAAGAAGATCTCATCTTTGGTTTGACACTTTCCCCCCTGAGAAGCCCCTCAGTAGTACGTGGCTGCTGACTTACGTTTGCAGGCGTCTGGGGCAGAGAAGGGCCTCCTGAGGTCGCGGTAGAAGCCCAGCTTGCAGCGCTGGCAGTGCTGCCCTTCCGTGTTGTGCTGGCAGTTGTCACAGACGCCGCCGCTGCGATTGCCCGACGCCAGCCACGCAGCCATGTCAAAGTGACAAGTGTCGGCGTGCCCATTGCACTTGCACGCTGAGGCAAAGCCAAAGGGAACAGAAAAACTCATTAAGGCAGTGAAAGATACTGGTTTATAGAAAAGAGACACAAAAACTCAAACCATGTTTTGGAATGGGGACTTGACCTATGAACCTGTTATTCATTCAAATGCATGAAGCAGCACTACATTTTCATCTACATTTCCCAACCTCTGGAGATAACCTTTAAGAAAAAGGATTTTAAAAAATTCTTTAATTTCCAATACAGGTTTTCCAGTACCAGGACAGCCACAGGTGGTCAGGCCAGAACAGAGAGACCCACATTTACTGGTCCTGCTGAGGAAGGATCCTTCCCTCCCAGCTTTAGAAATCAGCACTGCCCTATACAACATCTGCCATGAGGGTGCTGTCAGGATATTCCCCAGCAGCTGAGGGAGGAAAGAGGTAGGTGGAGGATAGGTGTGTGAGAGAGTACAAGCATCCTCCTTACCCTGTGCTGGCACTGGAGGAAGTCTGCATGCCCACATGACTGAAGTCAAGGGTCAAGTGAGACCTATTCCAATGCCTGTTCATCAAATGCTGCTGGTGTGAGTAGGAATTCACTGTCATTTCCTCAGAGATCATCCACACTGCAGTGAGCATGACCATAGCCCACACTGTCAGGCTGATGGTTGCTTATGTATGGATAGCATTGTAGCCAGGGCAGGATGGCACTCAGTAGGCCTGCAAGCCTTCCCGGGGTGATGTGGGGAGTCCTCAGCACCCTTCTGCCTAGACTGCTGCTCTTACTGAAGCAGACGGCTCCATGACCTCTGCATTCCCCTGCTTGCAGCACTCTCCCTAAGCATGCCCCCTGGCACTGCAGAACTGATCTACAAACCTCCAGAGCCCATGGCTGCTCCTGCCCTCAGTGCCCCGGGGTGAGCAGAGCCCACACCCAGCAGCAGAAAGTCATACCTCCTGCAAAGGTGTTTGTCAGGGTGTCCATGGAGAGGACAAATGTGGCCCCTTGTCAGCTCCAAGGTACCCTGGCAGGCTGCAGACTGCCCACAGCAGCAGACCTTATCCCCAGGAGATGCACTTGGGACCCAGAGAAAGGCCAAACCAACAGACACGGCGGTCTTGTGAGGATTGCCAAGTGAGGGGCTGTGCAAACAGGGCTGTCCTGGCCACACACACACACATGGTGGGTGCTGGGCAGGGTGTGGCAGTGCCTCTTCACTGCTGAGCTGCTTGGAAAGCACCTCCCCACCACCTCAGCATGTGCTGCTCTCGCACACACAGGAGAAAGGCACGCATGGAGGAAGCATTTCACTCTGGCAAGGATCTGGAGACACCATTCCTGACTGGCTACTTACACTGACACTCCCTGGGGGCTCCGGTCTTGCCATCAGCAGCCTGCCAAGGCTGGTCGTTGTACAGCGGGGCGCAGTGCTGGCAGTGGGGCCCTGCGGTGTTGTGCTTGCACATGCATTTCCCATGGACCTGGTAAGGGAAAGAGAGCAAGGATCACCCACAGCAAAGGCCAGAGTCTCTGGGGCTCAAGCAATGCCCACACACAGGAAATAGCATGCCAGCTCCATGCTGTTGCATCGACTAGAAGGAGACATATAGCATAGTCAATATATAGCATAGTGTCCAGTTCAGCCAGGGGCAAACATTCTGTAGTTACACTTTCAGTTAGGTTAGTATGTGTAGATCTGCATGTCATGGTATTGTATACCATGACATATTACTTTTGGTAATTACTTTGCTAATTAATTACTCATGGTATATTACTTTTTTATTTATTTTATTTTTTTTGAGATCTAAAAGCGTCTTTAGCCATTTCCAGATGCAGCATGAATTTCCAGGAGAAATTTAAAAAAATGCTGGGATTCAAAGCACCCTTGGGAAACACTGTAAAACCTTTCTCTTTTTGTCTCTCATAAACATGAATACACCTTTGCAGTATTGCAGGAATAGCACCTACAATCTCAGAACTCAGCTCTGTGTGCCCAACTATCTCCAGCACAAATAAGCATGAGAAAAAGGAAAATCAAGCCCCTGAAACATAAATATCTACTCATCCTAGGCAGAATTTTTGCCCCACAAAGGAAGACTCAAGGACAGCACAAGGCCTGTGACTGACTATACTCGGACATGTTCATGACAGATAATTTAACAGCTAGACAGCCCACTGTAAGGGGGTAATTAGAGATGAAAAGCCAGCACAGCACACTTGGTGCCAGCTGCCCTGTCAGTCGCTGGCATTACTCACCCTGTTGGCAAATGCAAAGAAAACAGGATGTGGCCAGAGGGCACGAGCAGCCGGCAGTGCCTGGATGCAACAAGATCAAGCTCTGCAGTAGCATGGCTCTGCTGGCAAGAATGAAGGCCCTGCCTTTTCCCATGGAGCATGGCAGGTAGCTGCCTACTGTAGCTATTTTGATATGTGCCTGTGTTTGCAGCTTTACTCTGCCCCACATTTTGCTTTTAAATGCAGAGTTCTGCTTCTCCTGCTGCTCGTGACCGAGCCAGGGGCCGCAGTCTGCTGCCAGCATGGCCCTGTGCTCATGCCACAAGCTGGCCATAAAACCAACGGAGCTGCACCAGCTGCTGCTGCTTTTGGCATTGAGGGGAGCACAGGGTGGCTGGGGCACCTGGTGATCCAGCCTGGAGCTGGGCATGGCTTTAACTGCTACTGCAAAATGCTGCCTTCCACAGAGTTTAACTTTGGTTTTACAAGTGTGCTGTCCCTAACTGCATCACTTGCTGTCGAGACTGCCACATAAAAAGGTTCCTGTGAAAAGCCTGAAGAGTAAACAAAACAGAAGAGGACCTTGAACATGTTGTAAACAGCTCCTGCTTATTACATAGGTGCACACACACACACCACACACATTCCTGGCTTATGGTGACTTTCTGATTTATTAATTTGAGTAGATTAATTAATTTATTTCAGTTGCTATCTTACAGAAGTCAAATGTAACCAGTACAGATAAAATTTCAAAACTGACCTGAAAAGTCTTTCCAAGAGTTTTAAGCAGAAATGAAAATAGCAAGATCTTTCAAAAACTTCTTGAATTCATTCCTGTCCCATTAAAATGTCAGATCGTCAAAAAATACAAACAGCAGCTGTGCTTTGTAAGCAATGGATAGATATGGATGGAGTCAGAATGCACAAGCATCCAAGCTAAAGTGAAAATACTAAGCTAACGTTGTTTTCTGTGCTATCTGGCCTCATCACAGGAACTAGTTGGTTTCACTGCAGATACTACTTGGTCTGCCTGGTTTACAGCATTGATATAAGCTTAAATGTGTGCTAATGTCTGAAAAGAATGAGAAGTAAACATAGGAAAGAAACAACAAACTTGTGGAGGGTATATTTAGTTCTCAAAGTGTGTTTTGTGTTTTCATATTTTCATTTTTGCTACAACCAACAAAATGTTCTTCAAGCTTTCAGATACCTCCCTTTCCTAAATTACCCCTCGCCAATAAATTTCTGTCTCATATTTTTTAGGCAAGGTGCACACACAAACCAATGTTACAGAATCTCTTCACACACATTTAAAACCTGCATGGAAACAGAAGATGACTGAACTTATACTGCTCATCTTCTGGTGGTTTTGATGGTGTCCTAACTCTTCGATGCCACTTTTGGTAGGAGCTTCTTGCAAGACCCTTGGCCATTGAGTGGTTAGGGCTAGACACACTAGCCTGAACCACATCTGTGGCCAGAGACATCCTCCAGAAACCCTTCCTCACAGAACTGTCCCAGCCGTAAGGGTAGAGGGACCCACCAGACCCACGACACACACGATCAAGAAGGGAAGGTGACTGTAAGGAGTCAGAGGGTGCCATGGTCAAAACCAGAGGGTCCTTTGGTGCTTTTGCAATCATGATGCCAAAGTGAGAAGGACATGGTAGAAGAATTGCAATTGAAATTGTCTCAGACATGGGGACACTTGTGATTTCTGTGGGGATGTGTGCTCCCCCTTTCTGTGCCCACAGCCTGTAGTCTCACCCTCCAAATTCAGTTTGCTCCTTGCCAAAGCGACACAAAGAATCACTGGGGACTCAATCAATCATCCAGAGGCTGCTCAGCATTAATAATCCAAAAACTCATCTGAAACTCAGCAGCACCTCAGAAACCCTCAAAGGATTAAGCATCCCAAGACACCAGCAGACAGCAAGGCAAAATGCCTCACCAAGGAGCTTTCATGGCTCTAAAGAGCAAGAGCTTGGATTTTCTGAAAGCTCAAGTACTGTAGAATAGAACATTGCTGCATTGCTGAAATAAAGGAAGGTGGGTGAAAATAAAACAAAATAGGATGGGTATTCCAAGAATCTGCTGTGCCACCATTAATTTGGCATGCAGAGCTAATAAATAAACCACTGAATAGCTGTGCACCAATATATTAATCTGTATGTGAACTCTAAGGAAAGAAGTTGTACATTATTAAAAAACTGTTGCAGCAATGGAAGGCTTGTGGTCTCTCACACTGTGGCAAGGACAGCTGCAAAAGAGCCAGGTTGGAGATGATGCAAATTAAGCAGCTGGTGTTTATCTAGATAGACTCAGAGGCAGAGCATGGCATGACACTCCTGATATTGATTGCTTGTAAAGGTGCCATGCACCTGGGCAAAAGGAAACAAATGGTCTGTCTGGAAAGCGTAAAAAATAACAGAGTAGCAATTCTGTAGTCTGTGCAAAGGCAAGCACAGGGCCAGCACAGAGGCCCGTGGGCTTGGGCTCCTGCCTGACTCAGTGGGTGCTGTCCAGCTGGGCCAGGAGGAACATGTTCCTCATTCTTACCCTAAGGGTGCTGCCTTGCAGTTTCCTTTCCTCAGGGTTTATCACAACCTGCCTCCATCAGCTGCTCCCTCCCAAGTGCAGATCCCTCTGTGGATCCCACACGCCCTCTGCTCACCGGGGCAGGGCCTGCCATGGCTGCTCAGTAGCCCAGCCTGCAGTGCACACTGCAAACCTGTGTGCCCCTGCTTGCTGCAGGGCTGGGCCCCCATTATCTCAGTGGGATTCCTGTTTGGGTGAACGCCTGCAGAAGCCTGGGAGATGCAATGGCCTGGCTGACCCCGCTCCTGCATCAGAAGCAGCTACCCAGACCCCAGTCTTAGGGAGTAAGCTTTGGAAAAGGCAGCAGGTTTCTGAATTTTGACACTGCCGTGCCTTTGCAGCACTGCTACTTAAATGGGCTGAGAAAACTTTGCCTCTCCAAGGTCCCCTCAGGTTTCATAGTGGCCCCAACCCCTCTCAGCCAGGTAGAGTGTGGGGTGCAGACCCACTAAGGAAGAAGCTAAAGGGGCAGTCAAACCGAGGGAGCAGAGGGAAACAGAGTCCTTAATAGCTTGCTTCTCAGTGCAACCATTTAGTTAGTACCTTCTTTTCCATATTCCTTTTTCACAGAAGTTTAATGAAAAGTCAGACCTAAGTGATTCAAAAACCTTGCCTCAGGCTGATGTATTTGTTCTCTTAAAATAGCATTACAATTACTACCACCCAAAACAGCTCTGCATTGAAATGTCTCTCCAACCTAGCTTTATCCCACTGAAGAAAATATCTTCTTTCTTTTATATAATTCCAGCATGACAGCAAACACTTTTATGCATTGGAAACAACAAAAAAGGTGGATACTAGCAAGCCCTTTCTTGCAGCCCATAGGTAGACATGTATTTTTTTTAGTAATAAAGAAATCCTATGAGAGCTAGAAATATGAGAAAGGTCAAGAAGGGGTAATACAAGGAGAAGTGGCAGCAGGTGAAAAACAGCCAACAGACTGTCTGCACTGGACAAAATTAATGTCTGTGAGAGCTGTAGGAGGGCCACTTGTGAGACTGGTCTGCCATGCAAATACCCTGTCATGGCACAGAGCAGCTGGGAGACGGGGCTGAGAAACCAGCCCAGCAGCTCTGCTGGGACACAAGGTAGATGGGAAAATGACATACCTGGCCTTCAGGATTTCCCCAGCATGTCAGCACCTTTCTGAAGGCAGAATCTCAGAGTCTGATCCCTGTGCATTGACAGGGGGAAAAGCACATATTTTCTTCCCTTTTCATTCACCTCAGCTTATAGCTAGCTGTAAGGCATACCCACTAGGGTCATTATGGAGCATCACTAAGTACACAAACACAATTGCCAGTATGTCTCACTCCTTTAAGCATTCACACAGCTCCTGACTCATTTAAGCAGCAAGGCCTTCCTATAACATTTTTCATTTTGTCATGGGGTCTTTATATCCCAGTTCACTTTCACACTGTTTCCCTTCTTAGCTTGACAGCCCAGTCGCAATGTCAGTCACTGGAGGGCACAATGCAAAGAGTGTTACAAAAGTTGCCTTCTGCAAGATAAACGAGCGACTGATTTCTCTATACAAAGACAGTTGCTAGGGCATGCTTCCTTCCAGAGCCTTTTGTTGCCAAATTATAACCTTTCAGCGCTTCCTTTCACATTGCAAATACATAGGGCTTTTTCTTTAGTTGAATCTTATAAAATCCTTTTCCCCATATTTATCATGTTCCAAAATGTTAGGCAGTGACAAAGACTGCTGCACTGAGGGAAAAATGCTTTCAGTCACCTGTTATAAATTGATTTATATTGTAAGAATTCACCCACTATATGGAGTCCAACACAAATGCACACTAAAAGCAAATCAATGTCCCAAAGACCTGATAGCATAAACAGTCTAAATAGCTGGGAGGGGCAACTGCTTTTAATAGAATTTCCTTTTTGGAACTGTTAAAACTGTAATTTTTTTTCTCTCTCTCTTGTTTTATTTTTTTTTTAGCTTTCATGGAAAATGGGCATGATTCTAGCCTAAGGGAAAATGGCAGCATTCACACTGAGTCTCTAACCATAGCTTTTAAACTGTGTTGTGCTTCAACTGCTGTGCCAGTTTTAGAACCAATGCCTACTGGTGGCTGTCAGCACATGGAGAGTATTCTTTTCCCAAAGCACCAGACAACCAAATTTATGCATGAGAAAATTCTCATATCCTATCTTGTTCTTGTGAAAGAATACAAAGCTTGTTGTCCAGGGTGTGGGGGCTGTGCAGTAGGGTTTTTTTAATTCCTTGTACAAAAGGCTTCTGTCAGCGTTGCTCTGGAAGACCTTGAGCATCTTTTGATGTCAGTAGCATGATAACAATTTATAACAGCCACTGGGCTGGCCACATGGGAAGTGGGGGGAAATATTCCCCTGCCTAACTACACAGAAGTGCTTTAGCAGAGTACCTTAATCCACCCAAGATCCCAACCTTCCTAACTATGGAGGAAGCTTGGAGAGATCAGCTGGCTGAGCTGCAGGAATCTGCATTCAGGGAGGGCCAAGGAGTCTCTGAGATGGATGAACTCCAGCTCTCACCTTGAGACAGAGCTGCAGAACCCAGGTGAGGTGTCTCTGGGTTTGCTTTCCCCACTTTGGATTCCTAAATTGCAAGATCCTACTTATCCAGGCTTGCACAACACTTGCCTCTCCTCTTGCGTGCCATTTGCCGCTGCTGCAAGCAGGCCACGGGGATGCTTTGGCTGCTAAGAGGCATGCAGAGCAAACATGCACTGCAATGGCTCCATGTGCAGAGGTACGGGCAAAGGGTGAGGAGCTCCTGTGCCACAGATCAGAGGAAAAAACAGTTTTCTTGCATCCACTGAAGATCAGGAGGGATCTCCTATTTATGTAAACTCATTTGTTTGCTCATATTTGCGGTTTGCCATGTAATGCAGCTCCAGAAGTGACCAGTTGCTTAGCATGGTATGGTAGGAGGTCTGTCTGTACATGCATATCTTTTCCTGGGTAAGCACTGGGCTTTCGTTGATGAGATTTGAGTAGTGACCTTTTGAATAAATTTGGGAGAAGTAGGAAAGAAAGAAAGTGTATCTGTATCAACCTGACAGTTGCCTGTTGCACACAAGTGTCCAACAAGGGACAGACAGGATCATACTCCGTATGAGGAGCAGCCCTTGCCATCCCAGGCAGACAGGTCTTCTCTGGGGAGCTCATGGAAAGACACCTTCTGCTAGAGCAGAAGTTCCACCTGTATATTCAGAATTCACCTAAAGGCTGACATGGCACTTCTGGTGCTCAAACAAAACCAGAGTTTTCCTGCACAAATTCCATTCTCTTTTAGGAAAAGGGTAGGTGGGGGAATTGCCAGGAGGAGAGGAGCATCATGGAGAGTTTTGCAGCTAGACGGTGATGATGGGACAGAAACAAATCTCCTACCAGACTCTGTCAAGTTGAACTTTGCTTTGACTTGGCTCAGACAGATTGCAGACAGAGGTTTCCCCACCCCTGAAAATGAACCTAGAGCTGCTTCTGCCAGGGTAGAAGGAGCCCCTCTTTGTTCCACCCTGTTTGCATCCCAAGCCCACATGCTGACGGTGTTCCAGGTAAGTATTATCTCATGGTCAAGTGGACTTGTGGCCTCACTTCAGCCACTCACAATATTTACCTTCAAAACCATCACTTTGTCAACAAAATTGCCAAGATCTCAAGAAAAAGTTACTTCCAATGGGAGGAATCCTGTGGCAGCAAGCTGGGCCCATGTCCCAGGCTGACCATCCTGGCCCCTGGGTGAGGATCCTGCATCAAACCTGCCAGAGCAGCAGCCCCCAGCATTCTCACATACCCACACTCTTTTGTCAGATTGTCTCTGGGTGAGGTGGCTGAAATGCTTCTGCTCACTCTGTGAGATCTGACTGAGACCTGGCAGCTGTGCCCAGTGCTGCTGGGATTCCCCAGAGCAGCCCAAGAGAAAGATAAATATATCACATTTACTGCCCAGAGCAGCCCAAGAGAAAGATAAATATATCACATCTGTGTCTTCTGCTGGCCAGGCAGGGACTGAAACTAAGGCTGCAGTTAGGATTTTGCCTATAGGCTGAGAACAAGTGGGGGGCTAAGAAAACTGCCACAAAGATTTTTTTGAAAAGTTGTTTGGTTTTTTATTAAACGATCTTAAACATGCTTCGATTTCGATGTTAACTCTAACTTAGGGCATATTCTTCAGGAGTGATCTTGTCTAAACAAACATAAAAACAGAGCCAGATTTTATAATCATATTGTGAAATGATACTGTGCTTCCCTGCTTCTGTTGTCCTCAGTTTTACACTTGTGGTTCTGATAAAACCCTTGGTAGGCAGAGGTTCATAAAGACTATACTGAAATCTCCATCAGCCTCTTAAATGACTGGTCATAATTCTTCAGATTTATGTTTTCTCTGAGTTTTTTAGCTGATATGTATAAAAATGCTCCCTCTCTGAAATCCTACTCTCTTTTCAGAAGTTTTTTCACTTCTACCACCTAAACAGCCATGGACATCGCAATCTTTTGTCCCTTTTCTGTTCATTCACATGTGTGATGAATTCTTCCTATCACCTTGGAAATAGTTCTCTCTTCCAATCTTGATGCAATGCCCTGGCAAACCCCAGGCTGGGTTGCAGGAGGTGGGTGCCACTGCAGTCCCCAAACAGCAGTAGCCTCATGCCACAGGAGCCAGGCATGGACTAGGCTCAGCCAAAAATGCCCCAGCTCTGTGATGGAAAAGGTGGTATTGGGAGAGGAAAGCTCTTACCACACCTCGACCCTCCCTGCAAACCACGGGGCATTGTCACCCCTACACTGGCACAGCCCTCATGGGACATGCAGGATGGGGGGTAAGTAAAGCACAGCATGACACAGCAAAATGAGTCAGCCTCACTGCAGAAACGTCACCTTTGGGACTCCTGCCACATAAGCATTTATAACCAGAGTTGAATTTCTCCCTCGGGGCCAGCACAGGGGTTTGTTGCTATTTCTTGCTCTGTTTTCAGTGTGATTTTGGCACTTGCTTCCTTCCCCCAGCCCTGCCTGTTACCTGCACACTATGGTTGCCACAGCCTGTAGCTGTACTGGAGGCCTATTTGGCTGCAGGCTCTGTTACAACTCTCAATGGTGCTCCAGGGCACGCTCCCATGCAATTGTATCCCACCAAAATAATCCTGAGCAAACAGCCCCTTTCAAAGACTTTCACTCAGGGGACATCTGCAGAAAGCAGAGCAGTGCTACTTGAAACACTCTTATCAATCACAGAGCTGCACACTTTCAAACTGGTATATTTTCAAGATGTTGCAAGGCTAGCTCTAGTGGAAGGGAAACATCCTGTCTGCTTCATGTCTGAGATTGTAATTAAGTGAAATGAGAGCTCCCCAAAGAGCTGGACTCCTTACCTAGACTAACTGCCTCTTCTTTTTTAATGATCTTTCTCTGTCTAACATTCAGTACAGTATGTTTGGCTGTTCTGTCTTTCCCTACTGCTCTTCCTTCAGCAAAGCCAGAGCTTTCAGAGCCAGCCTGGATGAGCAGAAAGGATAAGATGTGCTGGTGGCACCAAGTGTCCCTGGACTGGCTGCGTACAGGCATGCCATGCCACAGGCATCCAATGTGTTGGCCACTGCTGTGCCTGTCACCTGCCCTATGGGTTAGTGCCTCTTGCTTCCCTGGAGTTTAGGTCTTGGTGGGTCCTTAGGAATTGGAGCTCAGAGCTCTTGTGATGGAAGTACCCTCAAAACCAGAGCGCAGAGGTTTTATCCAGAGAAAGATATTGCAAAGTGCAATAGAAAGCCCATGAGTGAGAGCCAAAACCCATCTCTATCCCCTTGGTTCAAGACCCAACCTAATATCCTTGGATCCTCCAGAAGCAATGGTAGTTATGTGATGCCTCGTATCATCAGAGAAGCTCTCCTCCTTCTTTGTTACCAAAATGCCCTGCATTTTTTATCCTTTAGATATTGTGCTACTGCAAGTCAGCATTTGGGGAAAGATGGATGTCAGCAATTTAATTATTTTTAAAGATTTACCTGAAATAAATAAACTACTGTGGAGCACCTTTGAAAAGGATGAGAGTCCCACACCAAGACATAAAGGAAGTTCAGCACTTCAGCTCCACATGGAGACCACCCCCTTTGTAAACACCATTTCTGCTCGCTGTGCTTGGAGCTCAGGGCATCAAATGTCAAATATGGCGTACTTGGACCTACACCATACTCTATACAGTCCCTTACTATTTTCAAAATCCTGCTTTCCTGCAGTGTGTTGTGTTGTGAGACATTGTTGGGTGCACGTACGTACCACATGGAAAACGCCAGCCGCCTTGTTGGGCCTGAATCCAGCGACAGGGACGCAGTGGTCGGCGTGGCCGTTGCAGAAGCAGCTGCCCTTGACGATGAAGTCGTAGATGGCGT